ACTGGTAACCGTCGCCTACGTGAAGAGCGGAGCGGTTTATTGGGTGACAACGGAATAATAACTCCAGCGCTGATGATAAGAAGGTGATAATTAAAAACAAAAGCAAATCGAACCCTCTATACAAGTGGCAAGCAAATTCATCGACAGGATCGTCATTGCTAGCGAGTTCGTGAGATAGAATGAGATAGCAACGTTGGATATCTCATTCCAACTCATAGACTCGCTAGCAATAACGATTCCATCGATGGATTCACTTACCACTGATTTAGGCCATAGGAAAGTTCCTTAATAATTAATCACATTTCCAGGTGGAACCACGTAAAGGGTAGCTATGTACCCTAAATTGCTATCAATGGGTCTGTTAGGCTAGGAAGAGGGGCTGGTAGTAATGGATTACTAACAGCCCCTCTTCCTGGACAGGGGCGTTTGGTAATGGGAGTTAGTGGTCCCATTGCTAGCAACATACCTTCTTAAATCAATGCTGCAGACTTCACGCACTTTCTTCTGAAAACCATCGTAATGCATTCCTGATGAGCTCATTACAATAGGCCAACTGATTTGACTTCATCATCAACTATCTTTCCAAACTATCCCACCAGCGTACACCGACAGCCCTAAATAGTTCATGATAATCCTCATACGATAGGGGAATGGATTGTGATGAATGGAGACAAAGAACCCAATCACTCGCAATACACCCAGGTCGACCTCCACGTGGTCCCCCAGGAAACCATCGGTCTTACTTCTAGGTGTATTCATCACGGTGCACTAACTGACCCGCCTTTTCATTCTCACCTGTTATCCCTTACTGGTGTCCCGCCAGCATATACCGTTAATGCGGGCGGATTTGCCATTCCATTATTACCCATTAAAAAAAAATAGAAACTCTCATGTGATACCGTTACTGAAGACTGTAGTATTATAAATACGTACTCTTTAATTTTACAACCATATCATGTGAGTACAGCTGCTTGGCGATATAAACACAAATGGGACAGAAGTGCCCATGCAGTGTAAATGAGTTTTGTACAAAAATATAATTTACCACAGGGAGGCTTTGTACAAAAGTCGATTGCTTGGGTACCTCTGTCTCATTCGTGTTTCAACCGTGAAGCAGCTGTGTTTGCATGGCTGTGTTTCGGTTTGAAGAATGGAATATGGCGTGAATTTACTGGGTACAGAGGAATAACACCTGAGTCCTCAGGAATGGCAACGCATGGGGGGTATCATGGGCGAAACAGTATACTCTGTTATGTCCATGGTACTGCTCATGTCTATAGGCGACGGTTACCACTTTCCATCAGGTGGGCCATCAGCTTGTTTGCCTTTCTAAGTTGTATAAAAAAAAAATTGTGTGTAATACTGTTATAACATGAGCATGAACAGTAAAACTAAATATGGGCCAATGTATTAACTATAAAATATTAAACAAGCGGATGAAGTGGATACACAAACGAAGCCGTAGCCACAACTAGTCTTATTTATTAATGGCAGCTTGGCATTTCAAGGCGTACTAAAAAAAAAAATTACCGTCTTCTATTAAAGAAGTATTTCTGAAACATTATATAATACCACTGAACGCAATAACCTGGTAACTGGTTTATTAATATGTTTATTTTACTAATTAGACTAACTTACTTGGAGCTTTTCGTGCAAACAGATTTCTAATTGAGAAATATTATAAAATATGTATGTGTATATATAAACATATATAACATATATTTACATTATTACATGTATCACATCTCCATATTTAGAGTTAGTAGAATTTTCATCGTGCCTCCGATCAAATTGTTTATCTCTCCTCTCCATCCAAAGATTGCCTGGAAGAGATCGCTTTCAGCTATAAGGTTGCCCATGGTTTTATCAATGTGATTATTTCTTGTAATAGTTTATATTTATAATAAGTTACTATTGTATTCTTTTGGAGTAAACAATAAAGAGTATCTATCTATCTATCTATCTATATCTACCTAGATATATTCAAAAAGGAAAATTAATGTTTTAATGATAAAAACATATCAAGACTAATTCTGTTTTCTTGGAATGTTTAGGTTTTAATTATAGCTGTCTAATATAGTTTAACTTATTATTAAGTTGGCAAGGTTTCTCATCATATTATCATATCAGCTCTTAATTGTTCACAGCTGAACATAAGGGGAATTTTGTCAGTAGTTGCCACGCTTAGCAAGCGGGTTGGCAACCGTAATTAGTAGGCTATTAGAAATGTTTTGAGAGGGACGCTGCTGCCCATCCCTCGACCACAAAATTTCCTTAGTCGTCTCTTACGATATCCACGGGAAAGGAAAGAGTGGCCTATTCTATGTCGGCACCATAAGGTGTCTCGGTATAGGATTATTTTTTCTCTTACAAAAATTCGTTTGATAAAATAACAATATCTTATCCAATTCTACAGTAAAATAGAATAGAACCAAAATTTGTTATTACATGTTACAATAAAGAATTGTATAAGGTTACCGCAACCTTTTTTAATTACGCACCCTCGCTGCACAACCCTGTTACAATCCAAAGGAAATAAACCCCGAAAAGGAATTGAACAAATCTTCAGACATTCCGCCTAGCACCGCAGAATATCGATCAGAATTCCTTACGGCGACGTGAAAGCGTATTATTACGTATTACCACACCGCAACCGAATTCCAAATACCACGACAACTAAAAACGAAATGTTGTGAAAATGTTGTGACAACGTTTCGCGCACAATAACGTCGAGCAAATTACATCGCATAAAGATAATTTCCTCACGTGACTGGCACAATGTTTTGACGGATACCCAAATGTTGTACTTATGTTAATGAACGAACGGGACGCGTGATGCTTTTTGTTCAAGACGTGTCGCTGAGAAATTGCGTTTTTGTTACATAATTAGTCTTGTAGTGCTCTCATTTTATCAACCATTATCTCTGCAGATACTGCATTATTGTAACTACTGATATTTTTTTAACTAAATAACTAGTTTTTTTTTTTAATGTAATAACTTGCGAGTTATTAGATTGAAACAGCTCGACTAATTTCTAGATCAATTTGTGATCCTTAATAGTTAGTTAGTTTAGTTTAGTTTTTTTTAGTTTAGTTGTATTAAATCTGAATTAATTATAATAACAATCTTTATTCATCATTATTTTAAATAGTTAGAAGATCCTGCTCTTCCAGAATCCTTATCAGTACCCATGAATTATTTACATTGTGAAACTAGTTATATGCGTCATGAATAAAACTAGTTTCATAATGTAAATTAACCTCATGAAAGTATACATCTGAGAGTTAATTTTCCGTAGTGAAATAAAAACTACTGTTATAATCACGGCCCTGTTAGCTTTCAAAGCTTTCAGTACGCTAATTTCACGTCATATTTACATGCTGAAATTAGATGCAAGACACTAGTTTAATTATCAATCGCGCGAAATACAAGTAAGGAACTATTTTACTACTACGAAATTAATACATAAAAGTACAGATTTGTATGTTAGACTGTTTATAAAATTAGTATTTTTAAATTATTTATATAAAGCCATTTTAATTTGACTTTTTTAACTAACTTTCTTAATCTATACTTACAAAATTGCTAGCTCGAGTTGATTTAATACATAGCCAAAAATTTCAAATCTATGTAGCAAAAGTATGTAGAAATTTGAAACATTTTAATTTATAAAATTAGCACCGACTAAAAAAGGCTTTTTGTCGAAAATTCCAACTTAAATGAGAACACGACACTACGCCTGCAAAGTCGGGGGCAACAGTAAGTTACGAATACATTAATAATGAATACTTATATTTAAATTATTCTGTTTTATCAATTTCATTCGGTAGAAATATTTACGATTTATGTAATTATTATTTTTCAACATTTTATTTTGTTTTAATTTTCTTCTGTTTGTAAGTACTTGAGCTTGAAAATAATTTTAAAAATTAACATTTATTTTTTATGTGTATTTAACACGTTTCGGTTTTTAAATAAGATTTTACTATTTTGTAAATACAATGAGTACGTATCATTAACTATATACTTTTATTTTATATTTCTGCAGTACAGGAGACTACATTAAATAAGTTTAGTCTAGTTTCATATGTTATCTTCACCCAATCATAAGATATTTAAACTTAGGTAAAATAATATAAAACACCCCTGCCTTTAAATTACATTAATAATTTTCATATATGTTTTTATTATCTAATACTTAACATTTAAATGATTATTCAGTTTATAAAGTTTATTAAAATTGTCACTATTTTTCCATAATCATCAATAAACGCATATTTTTAAAAGGCTGATAAGACATTAGCAACTCTATTCACATTTTAAGCATGGCGATAGCAATTTGGCATCAGCTGAACTGTCATAATATTTATACAAATTCATGCCTGGGATAGCGTGGAACTATAATGAAACAATTAACAGCAATACCATTGAAAGAGATTTTGAACGCGTACTATTTTTAGACAGCATATTTAAGTGCTATTACTAATTACGAGATAGAAACTGTAAGCAAAATATATTAGAATTTGTTATATATATAAAAAAAAAGAAAAATTATACTGCTGAACTTTTGATTGAAACAGTAAAATATGAATCAATTAAGTCACAACGTATCTATTTCAGATACTGGTTTTAGAAGATAATTTATAACTTTAAATAGATAATTAATTCAAAATTTGACAAATGGAACCTAATTAGTAGATAATAGAAATACTGTCTTTAATATATTTAATTAATAATAAAGTCACATTTATTTGTACTACATTTGAGATCAATTTATTATTGATTACAAATTTATTCTATTAAGTATTAATATCTAAAACGAAAATATACTATTTATTATATTTATATTGAAAATTGTAATATAAAAAAGAAAAAAGATTGTTTTAGTATTTATTGGCAATAAATATAGTACTGGCCTCTTGCCTCCATAAAAAGTTCAAGAATAATTTTACCGCACAAAATATTACAGAAATTTTTATCGTAACAAAAAACCACTAACCTCCATTTGGCGTCACGTAACCAGAAATTAATCCTTTCAGATCAGCAATCAATCACATTAAAATCCAGCGCCAAAACACACAATTTTCACTAACGAAAATAATATCTGTCTTAAAAAAAAACCGTTAAAGAAAAACAGTCACTACCACTAAATCTAAATACCACGCTGTCTAAAATTACCACACTCACTAATTTAATTGGCTAGTGACGTTTTTCGCTGCGATTATACGACTCGTAACGTAGACGACGCGGTTTAAGCCGGCGGCATACGACACGTATAAACTTTGTGCCTCTTAGCTACTCACTGAGGGTGTATACTAAGCTCAGTTGGCCCGGCCAGGCTGCGTGGCAAATACCATTACATGCAGATGTGTCGAATAGGTGTTAATATATTGGGCGCGAAAATTATTATCAAATCAAAAATATAAAATATATAATATCAACAACATACGTATTTTCTACTGATATTGATGCTTCTTTATGTTTGCTAAAAGTAAAGCTCTTGCAGAGTATATATTTCTACCACTATATATTATTTCTGTGTACAATAAACTATAAATAAATAAATAGCTGCAGAATTGTAAATAAAATCTTTGTATGTTATAGTGTATGGAACACATTTAAAAATATCAAAAATTAATGTAAATCTTTTAGTTTTGTACTTCTTCATGGGTTTATTTTATATTCATTTTATAATCCAATTTTAACATATGAGGAATTAGAAGAATAACCAAATGTTAATATGCAATAAAATATTCAGTAGAGGACCCAAGCTAAACCTGTTTCACTTAATCTTTATTTTAACTTAAATATTTTCAAAAGAAAGGGTTTCTATTTTATACATATATATGATAGATATTTTTTTATTTAACTATTATTTAATTATACTATCAATTAGTATAATTTGAGGTATTAAAAAAGAAAAGACACATCGATGACAATAACAGCCAGGCATTCAACATAAACTTAGGAGTAGGAGTATGCAGGAATATTTACATAACATTGAAGTCAACAGGTTAAAATATAGTTAAAACTTCACAAAAGAAAGTAAACCCTCTGAGAAAGCTTACCACAAATTGAAATTATTTCTTAATAATCACAATGTTATTTTTAATTTCATATGAATCTAATATAATATTATTAATAATAATTAATAACTCTATAATTATTTTTTCATCTATTTTGTTTATTATTGCTTTTTTTTTCGTATATATTCTTTTACCTCTTTTTACTATATGTCTATCTATATCTATTGTTATTTGTACGTTGTAAATAATGCAAATAAATTATCTATCTATCTATTATCACTTTAGAATATATAGAATTAATACGAAATATCCAAATAGTTTTTCGATAATTTTTCCATCGCATAATAACAAAAAATCATATCTGAATTTTCCTTGCCACTTTATCTTTGACTCGACAACGACCTTAATCTGAAATCCCTTTTCAACTCCTCGTGCCTCTCATTATTGATCTCTTTCACTCCTCGCTACCGGTGCAATAATATATCCCTCTCACTTCCGCCGGCTAAAGCTCTGCTATCGCCGTTCCTTTCACTCACCACTGCAGAGCCTCAAAAACGAGGTAGTGGCGCCGTGCTATCAACGTGTGCGTTTGACATAAGGAATTTTTCCCTTACAATATTCACAGCGTAGCGAACAGCCGGTGATTTCGTTATCACACTGGCATTTTCTTTTGGATTCCCATTGTATTCTATTTTGCATATGGTATGTTGTTAAAAAGTGGAAACTTCAATGTATATAATAAACTGCTTATTTTATCAAGAAGAAAAAGCTTTTACAAATGGTATCGTTGTATTTTTGGGTTAGAATACTTATAGAGGGAAATGAGTTTAAAGTTGAAAGTGTAATAATAGTGTTACAATAGACTAGTAAAACTATTTTCAAATGGTCAAAGTTTATTTATAAGCCATTGTATTGACATGACCTGCGGTAAAATTCCGTTTGTGAAGTAAGTTAAGTGCAACGAAGTACCGGGATAAATGTTAGTGGGAAATATTTCGAAAAATAGTGTATTAATTAATACTACTAGGAATTGATCTTGCTTACTTTATTATGTTTTAAGTTATTCAATCTATAAAGGAAAAAAGATAGCTTATTCTGTGCCGGGATATATAATAGTTTATTTCAATTAAAAAAAAAAATTACCAGCTGACCTGTTGAACTTTGCACCGTCTTAGAATTAAATAATGTATCACAGTTTATTTATTTTTTATCTATTACATTATAAATATTTACCGATGTTTTACTAGCCCTTTGTTTCACCTCAATTACAAATTACTCGTATTTAATTCGCCAAATAACAATGGCTTTATTAACTAAGACCCTTATAAGGAAACAAATTCTATAACGGTCGTAACGTTGTCATTATACAAGACTAGTATATTCCAGGCAGTGTTAGTCAACCTCTTTGTTTTGTTGGACCGCTATCTTTCACTATGTGAAGTGGGCTGCAATGTAATTGATTGTTCTGTAGGCATTCTAAGAAGCTAAATGGCACAAAGCGTTACCTCATTACGATGGGAAGAGTTTACATTCTAGACTAAATTGTTTAATATGCTTTTGTCTATGTGGTAAAATTATTTGTTTTCACTTATCTATAAAACTAAACTGTTTAATATTTTAAAACTATGCTTAGATAAAAAAACTTTGTCGTTTTAATGAAGTTGTTTAGTTTATTAGGATAATTACCACACTAACTAAATTAGAACTGACGGGTAATTAACATTTTTATTCAAGGAATCAAGCTCCTTGAAATTGTTAAAAGAAAATGTATTTAGTTTTTAAATTTAGAGTTTGTGTATTCTAAATAAAATATTTATAAGTCAAAATAGAACATTTTTTTTAATTTTAAAGCCTCAAATACATAGTAGTATTATAAACATGAGTTTGTTACTTCTTGACACATTAACGGTTAAACCAATCGTCATGAAATTTGATATACATTTATGTAGTATCTTAAAAGAGAAAGACAACATTTTTTATTTCGGTCAATCTACATATCTCGAGCATACAGACAAAGTCGCGGGTAAACTCTACTTACAATATAATTTATTGTTTTTAACATTAAAAACATTTATTAATAGAGTCTTCATCATCGTATCAGCCGTTAACTATCCACTGTTGAACATAGTCCTCTCTCGTAATTGGGGATTTTGCCAGTAGTTGCCATACTTGGCAGGCGGGTTGGCAACCACAGGTTTTGATGACGTTTTAAGAGGGACGCTACTGCCCATCGCTCGACCATTAAAGCCCTTCATAAGATACCTATTGAAAAAAAAATGGTTTAATAGAGTAGTTATTACCAAAAGTTATTTTTGAAACTATATTTTTAATCTTGCGGGCCTTATGTCTTCAAATGAAGTAGTACTGGATTAAAAAGAAAAACACGCGAAATGTGGGCGTTCCGGATGTCAAGCGCTAACGAATAGTTGGTATTCGGAAATACCTTCTGTGGGATGAACATATGATTTATGTATGAACCAATATGAGTTTGTTTAGTGATCCAGCGTGGTTCTTGTAATATAACATATGTTATTCTCAGTTTCAAAGGCGATTTCAGAAATTTTCAACCTACTTTAAATAAGAAGGAAGTTCTCAAATCGATTGTATTTTTTTGTTTAGGTTTGTTATATCATAAGTCCGTCAATTCTAAAGCGATTTAGAAATTTCTTTTTTTATCTAAAAGGATTTACTTATAAATTGGTCCTATAGAAATTTTATCAAAATCGGTTAAGAGGTTTAGTTTTAAAATCAAAATAACCTTTTTTGCCACAACTAAAGTTTTTTTTTTTTGGTGGAACATATATATGTAAACTTTAATTATTTTTAAGACGCATTTAAAAAGTAATATAAAAAATCCTTACTAATGTGTCATATTATTGCGATAAAAATATTTAATTTTGTGACAGACAAAACCTTCCAGTGTAGTAAATACGGATAGGCTGAATCCTAACTTAGGACATAGGATACAATATGTACAGATTAATACAAACAAAGCTGCGGAATACAGCTAGTAAATAAATATGCTTAAAAGATACCAGACGGATGATAGGTGAGATTGAAAATGCAGGTCAGTTTATTGTGATGAACACACCTGAAATTAAACACTGTTTCCAGGAAGGACCGCGGGGAGATCAACCTGACAGGGTATATTGCTAGCAATGGGACTGCTGGACGGTATTTCTAATTCCCAATGGGGTAATGAATGAGACGACACTACTATTTGATTAATTTGATTATTAAAGCTATCTGTCCGCTACTTCGTATGCATAGACTATAGAAGTAAGAAAACTGTTATTATCTAAGCAATGTAATACAATAATATTATCTATGGTAATAGACAAAATGAATATGTTGGCAACATTCTTTGTCAATGTTGTTACTTCCTATATACTCTTTGTTTATGGATAATGTTTAACTAATTTAAAACTTTGGAGTATTTCTAAATGGTATATCTAGATAAAATATTTATTATATTATTCTAAATTACACCTTCAGGACTACAAGTATGGAAACTGCCATTTTTCGCAAGATCATTTGGCATCACGCAAAAACAACTAGCTTTTTGCGTTATGCCAAAACAAACATACAGACATAATAATAAACTCTTTATTGCGCACAGTAGAGATGTATACAAGGAGTATTTTACAGACATATAGATAGACAAAATTTCTAACAATTCTTATTTCGTATTTATTAGTCTTATTGTTCTCATATCAAATTTTCTTAAATACGTAATATGTAGTGTAATCATACGTGCGAACTGAAAATCAACGCTTAACACACATGAGTCCAACAAAGCTGAGTTTGTACCTATTTCCAGGTATATGGGTACTTCAAAATGCATTTATTAATATATGTTCAACTTGTAATAATTGTACCGTGTTTGTAAAAAAAAAATGGTAATAAACACATTTATTTTTATTAAATGTCTTCCATATACACATATTGGCGTGTGCCCCCGGCATAGAATGGGCCACCCCTTCCTTTCCCGTGGATGTCGAACGACTAAGAGAGGACGAGGGATGGGCATCAGTATGCCTCTTAAAACTTCATTAAAAGCCTAACTGTGGTAGCCAACCCGCCTGCCAAGCGTGGCAACTACTGGCAAGACTCCCCTTATGAGAAAGGTTTATGTTTAGCTGAGGACAGTTAATAACTGAAATAAATAATACAAATATCATCTATGTATTTACAATTTTATTATATTTATAAAATAAGGTTAGATTATATAAATAGAGTGTCTCCATACAAATTCGAGAAAAG